GAGTTTCTCAGAGAAAAATTGCAAAGAGTTTGAAGTTATCATCATCTACAGTGCATAATATCATCCAAAGATTCAGAGAATCTGGAACAATCTCTGTGCGTAAGGGTCAAGGCCGGAAAACCATACTGGATGCCCGTGATCTTCGGGCCCTTAGACGGCACTGCATCACATACAGGAATTTTGGAAAACTGGGATGTCATGTCATCCGGACTAAAGAGGACAAGGACAACCCAAGTTGTTATCAGCGCTCAGTTCAGAAGCCTGCATCTCTGATGGTATGGGGTTGCATGAGTGCGTGTGGCTTGGGCAGCTTACACATCTGGAAAGGCACCATCAATGCTGAAAGGTATATCCAAGTTCTAGAACAACATATGCTTGTCTCCTCAGTCCCCAGACGTTTGCAGACTGTTATAAAAAGAAGAGGGGATGCCACACAGTGGTAAACATGGCCTTGTCCCAACTTTTTTGAGATGTGTTGATGCCATGAAATTTAAAATCAACTTATTTTTCCCTTAAAATGATACATTTTCTCAGTTTAAACATTTGATATGTCATCTATGTTGTATTCTGAATAAAATATTGAAATTTGAAACTTCCACATCATTGCATTCTGTTTTTATTCACGATTTGTACAGTGTCCCAACTTTTTTGTTATCGGGTTTGTATAATTTTGTAGTATAATTGCACTGTACACATTTTATGTGTACAGTGCGACAGCAAAGAGCTTTTTTACATTTTAGAGAAGTCAAGTTGCGATACCGAACAGGACCACATGGTGATGCCAAAAAATCCCTAAAACAACCGCCTGCTGACTGCATATATCTACTACAGTACACGGATCCATTCCGTATAACTAAACACAGCAACATAAACATGACAAATCAAAACATTATTGTGAATGTGTGAGGAAACAACGTGAATGTATGGAAATGTCTGTGGCTGTGCATAAATACAATGTGCGATCACTCCCATATTCGTGCATTTGAACGCCATTGCTATTGCAAATACAATCAGGCTTCAGTATTTCAGGAGAAAGATGTTTCCCCAAAGCGTCGAGATGGTCCTCACACAAGATCCAGGGGGCGAGGTTGGATCCAGATCACATTACCACGGGAAGTAGGGGTGCTGAGGGTGCTGCAGCACCCCCTGAGTGTAGCCCACAAAAAAAATGGGGGTGCTGGGGGTGTGGTGTTAAAAATAAATGAAAGAACAATATGTAATAAAAAATAAATATTCATTTTATTAATTAGTATATTCATTAAAATTCATTGAAAAAAGTAGCCTAAGCCTACAATGACAAGAAGCAATGGTTAAATATGAGTTAAGTTGAATCAAATTGACTGTGAAAGTCGTTTCAACTGATTAAACTTATTAAACTGACTTAAAAAAACATTTGTTGCCATGATTTTTGGAATATATTATAACCTGTAACATGTCTCTGCCGTACCCAAATTAAGAATTAACAACCATTTCTACAAACAGCAGAGAAAGAGCGAGAGCGGCTACCTCAGCAGCAACAAATCTCGCATTCTCACATCTGTCGCGCTTATTTTGATCTTTAACGTTAGGTCTTTCCTATTCTTGAAACAAAATTAATTCTTCAGGTTGATTCAATATTACTCTTACTGAAAAAAACACACACAACATCAACAATGCTGTCGCTTATATCAAACATAACATTTTTATGAACAGATAATAACAAATAAGATCAGTGGCGTAGCGTCTATGCAGGGTATGCAGGTGCATGGGCCCGGGCAGTTTGGGGGCCCGCCGAGCTGGGGGCAACGAGGGAACGAATAGAGCCCTGCATAGGCCCGGCCCTTGTCCAACAGCTTTATGAGAATTCTCGGCCCGAGTCCGAATGGATCCCGTGTCTTTTTTCTCTCTCCCAAAATTGTGTTTGCATTCAGTAGCCTATATAGCATTTTTGTGCCACGTTTAAAAATAACTAAATAAATAAGATTAACGTCTTTTAAGAATAAAGTTAAAATTACGATAATAAAATCATGTTATATAATGTGAAAATTCCCCCCATAGGCCTACTCCTCCAAAAAAAAAAAAGTCTGTGGCATCCGTCATTCTTTTGACTTCTTTTAAAACTCTGATTTATCGATTCATGGGACATTCGTTTGTATTAAGTGGTTCTGATTTTTTTCAATATGCATTCAAATATTCATGTTTATTTCGTGCTGCAAATATTAAAGAAGAAAATATAATTGATTCATATGCAGCTTGAACTGAGGCGAATTATCTACATTATACTCCAAATTAAAGAGCGTAAAAAGACGTTTGTTGTTTGTATTTTATCATAAAATTGACAGAAGGCTGAGACTGTGTAGTAACAAAGCACAGAGCTGCGATAATTGGGTGACTTGCAATCAACAATAGGGCCTAAGTTAAGTTAACCGAGTTGGAGCTCATAGCGTTTGGGGGGGCCCCGTACAATTATTTTGCATGGGACCTGCATGGGCTGACTTGCTATACGCCACTGAATAAGACTGATGTATCCGCGTTGTAACACAAATAAATGTACGGTTTTTGGATTTTCCCCTTACTTTAAATGCATGCTTATGGCTCATTATTATTAATCGAATTTTTTTTTTACTCTGAACTTTTATTAACAAAATAAATTAGGATATGTTTTACTTGCGTTTAACACAAATAAATAGCCTATGGATTTCCCCTTAGGCTACCTTAAAACGATCGTATTTTGTGGTTTATTATCTTATTAATTAAAACACATCAGCCATAAAACAGTACAATGGCAAATTTGCATATATTAAACATCTACCTTGCATTGACAAAATGAATAAGATGGATATAGCCGTTGTAACCCAAATAAATAAGGTCCTTTCCCTTATTTAATACTAATGCTTAGTTTGTAGTTCATTGTTGTTGTTTTTTTATGAAAACCCAGCAACAAAGACACTCACTTATAGGCTATTAAACGAATAAATGAAAGTTTTAGTAACAAAGGTTGCGCTTTGGATCCGCCATCATAGTATTAGACTTCTCGCATCGCTCTTGTCACGTGACCCCCCCAGCTCAAAATACGTTCCCGCGGCTATGACCTTACATATATCTAAACTTACCCGTCTCCACCCCCTGATACCTAAACCCACCCGTCTCCACCCCTAAACCTACCATCTCCGCCCCCTAGATGTGGATCCAACCCCGCTCCCTGGATCTTTGTTCTGCAGTGAGGGGCTACTGAATGCGTCAGCTTCTGACTCGACGTTGAGAGACCGAACTGATAGGGAAACCGTATTTATGTAACATATGTTACGAATGTTTTACACCATATGAGTAGATAGAAATCAAATACATATTCAAAATAACGAACATGAACTCAAAATGTAATACCAGTACAGTGTACAAAAAATATATGTTAAATGATATTCAATGACATACAATAATCTCAGATCTGAGACCGAATGATTGTTGTGTTGTTGTTTTGACTTAAACACTTCAAGGTCATGATGCAAAACCAGCAAGATGATGCAGCATCCAAAGTGCATGTTTACATAAACCATCAGTTATAAACTGTTAAATGTAATTATACATTAATGACCAATATTTAAGCATATAAGTGAAGTGAAGTGACATGACATGTGGCCAAGTATTGTGGCCCATACTCGGAATTACTGCTCTGCATTTATTTCATCCAAAGTGCACACACAGCAGTGAACACACACACACACCCAGAGCAGTGGGCAGCCATTTTTGCTGCGGCGCCTGGGGAGCAGTTGGGTGACTGAATCAACTCTTTTTGCTTCTGCACCGTAAAAATGGCTTGGTGGCAATGTCTGTAAATTCTAGAATGGCTGATATCACTTACAGAACATGTGTGGACTCCTAATCTGGCATAAAAGCAAAATATTGTAAATGAATGTGTTCTAAAACAAACAGATAATTTCATACTTCCAGTGTGCAGTATTCTATGTTATATAGGTCGTACCAAGGTCACTTCTGCCAGCTTCCCCCAGGGTTTGATGAGATCCTATTCAGAGGAACAGACTGATACTGTAATGAGTCAGTCCACTGAAGGCGAGCATAGTGAAGAACCCAAGTGCAGTTTATTTACAGGTGATCCAAACAATAATCCGAGACTTGACATGAACAGACTTGACATGAACAGGCTTGAACAGACTTGACTAGGCATGAACAGACTTGACTCACCGACAGCGGGTTACAACATCAATACACGACAAGGGGACAATGGGAACATGATGGCTAGTTATAGCAGACAAGGAGGGTCACATGACATGAACAAACCAATGGGAAACAAGACACATGACTAGGACAACCAATAAGAACATGACACAAAGAACAGAGGAACAATTGGCATGAAGACAAGAGGGCAAGGGAAGCATGACATTAACAGCATGAATCAAACTACAAAATAAAAGACACGAAAACAAGAACATGAAACAAAACCCAAACACCACATTACATAACCCCCCTTCTAAGGGCGGCTCCAGACGCCCAAACAAACACAAACAAAACCCAACAAGTCCAGGAGGGTGGTGGAGTGTGAGTTCGTGAACGGCCTCCGTGGCCGTGACAAGACAGTCTGTCAGTTCGTGAATGGCCTCTGTGGCTGTGACAGGACAGACAGTGAGCTCATGAACAGCCTCCGTGGCCATGACAAGACAGTTTGTGAGTTCGTGAACAGCCTCCGTGGCCGTGACAAGACAGTCTGTCAGTTCGTGAACGGCCTCTGTGGCTGTGACAGGGCAGGCAGTGAGTTCGGAAGCGGACGCCACCACCTCAGGAGGTTCTGCAGCAGATGCTGCCACCTCTAGAGGTTCTGCAGCGGATGCTACCACTTCTGGAGGCACAGGAAAGGCCCTTGGAGCAGACTCGTGGATAGGAGAAGCTACTGGGGCAGATTCATGGACAGGAAAGGCCTCAGGAGCAGATTCATAGACAGGAGAGGCGTCTGAGGCAGACTCGTGGACAGAAGAGGCCTCAGGAGCAGACTCGTGGACAGGAGAGGACTCTGGAGTGCAGTGTGCAGCCCACATGCTCAAAATGGCGACCGCCATTACGGGCAGTGCAGTAGACAGTGGGATGCCTGGCGGGCTTGAGAGCATAGGGACCACTGGAATGTCAGCCACTCTCACTGACATCAGTGGTGGGTCCATCACACTAGCAATCAGTCTTTTCAGTCCTCGCCCAAGCTCCGCATCCGACTCAGGCGTGGTGGCCATCTTGGCCGGGGACTCAGGCCTGGCGGCTATCTTGGCCAAGGGCTCAGGCCTGGCGGCCATCCTGGCCGGGGACTCAGGCGTGGTGTGAGCAGTCTCTGAAATGAGGCGGCCATGTCATGACAAGACTCTGGAAGATCAGCTGAGACGTGACGAGACTCTAGAAGGGCGGCCATTTTGTGAAGAGACTCTTGTGTGGCGGCCATCTTGCAACGAAGCTCTTCAATGGCGGCCATATTGTGAAGAATCTCCTGAGTGACCAGCATGATGTGAGCAGACTCTGGCTTGGCAAACGTGACGTGAAGAGGACTTGACGTAGCAGACATGACGGGAGCAGGTTCTGGTTTGGCAGACCTGACGTGAGCAGGCCCTAGGGTAGCAGACATGATGTTAGCAGACTCTGGCTTGGCAGACATGACGTGATCAGGCTTTGACTTGATAGATATGACATGAGTCAACTTTGACTTAACTGGCATGATGTGAGCAGGTCCTGGAGTAGCAGGCATGACGTGAGCAGGCTGTGGCTTGGCAGACATGATGTGAGCAGGCTTTGGCATAGCAGGCATGACATTAGCAGACTGTGGCTTGGTAGGTGCTGCGGGACTGTGGGTACCATCATCCACAGTGAATGGTGATCCAGCCAACAACAGAACAAAGTCAATATAACGTTCCAGTGACCAACAAATAGTTCCCCCTGGCAAACTTGAACGAAGGGGTTCATTGATACCAAAACTAAAAATGTCTTTAAGGGTCACGTCATTAAAATCCACAAAGTGACATACCTCACAAAAATCGGCCACATACTCCTCTATAGCCCGGCCACCCTGACGCAGGCAGAGGAGACGTGAAACTGCTGGGTTCATTTTGCTGGGTCGTGTATTCTGTAACGAGTCAGTCCACTGATGGTGAGCGTAGTGAAAAACCCAAGTGCAGTTTAATTACAGATGATCCAAACATCCAAACAATAATCCGAGACGTGACTTGACATGAACAGACTTGACTAGACATGAACAGACTTGACTAGACATGAACAGACTTGAACAGACTTGACTAGGCATGAACAGACTTGACTCACCGACAGCGGGTTACAGCATCAATACACGACAAGGGGACAATGGGAACATGATGGGAAACAAGACACATGACTAGGACAACCAATCAGAACATGACACAAAGAACAGAGGAACAATTGGCATGAAGACAAGAGGGCAAGGGAAGCATGACACTAACAGCATGAATCAAACTACAAAATAAAAGACATGAAAACAAGAACATGAAACAAAACCCAAACACCACATTACAGATACAGAACACAAATCAAGAAAGACATCTTATCCTACTCTAAGAAACTACCTTTAAAATGATAATGTTCTTATTCTATCCTTCCTATATTTGACCCAGTAAAGGTGGCTTTCACCTGGTATAATGCAGGCTGCAAACTAGACCTTGATTGATGCAAACACAGGATGATGCTGTGATTTCAATGAGCATGTTAACTATTATTTCTTTAGACATTTTTACCTTTTAATATTCCTCAGGGACAATTTATGGCTACTTATGGCTACAAAATAAAAAGCTATTAAATATTTTCCACTGTTATCACATGGGAATAGGATACTTAACCAATTACTTACAAGTAATGGTTTATGTTTTCACACTGTAGATGTCAGAGTAGAACCTGGTATTAAACAGCCAATTCTAACAGCATATTAATAGGCTTTTCAGCAAAATTTCAATACTAAACAATTATGAAGCATGAAGCAATTTATGAAAGAGGAAAAAATGTGAAACAATAATAACAAAAATTGTTTTGGCCAAAAATATTGTAATATACAATATAAATAACAAAATAATAACAAAAATAACAACTTGCCATAATAAAAAATGAGACAAACATCTCATTCAAATAATTTTTTTATTATTATTATTATTCTTATTCTTATTCTTCTTCTTATTATTATTATATTAATCTTGTCTGAATGTATGCCAGCTGTTGTATTCTGTTCACTTGTTTACACGACACAGAAATATAACATTTGGAGGATAGAATTCATAAATAAATAAATATATAAAATATTCTAGCAATGAAAAACAAAGTCTGTAACCAACATGCGAAACATCTCAATAGCATAAAAAAAGTTTGACATATTTTTGTTAGTTTAAAAAGTCATGATTTTAAAAACATGTCATAAAAGTGCATGTACTTTTATATTGAAGGCATTTAACAGATATTCTTTCTAAAAACGACTCATCATGGTTAATTGACTTACTGCTGAGTGCCACGTTGCTCCTGTTATTGTTGCACAGTTCTCTGTCCATCTGAAAGGAAGATGTTTATTTTCATGTGTTTCTCGGTCAAAGTTAATGATTAATGATTCTTACCAGTTCATAATGATTATAACATAATAACAGTTATCCACTAGAGGGCAGAGTGACTTGTGACATGACGCGATGGACGAGACACTGGGACCGATTGACTTTTAGAGATTTTGTAAGACCTTGTGGAAGTGATTCTTCTGAGGCAATATATGTTAATTTAAGACAGCATGTTTCTAGGAACAAAGTTGTACTAATAGGAATATTATAACAGGTGATACAGATACTTATAAAATGCTTATTGTGGAACATTGCATTTAGAAATATAAATTGGAATAAAGCTGGGCGTATTTGTGAAATTTACTGTTTACATAAACTAAAAAAGTTACATTTAAAATTGTACATGGTATATATCCAGCCAAAAGTGTTAGAGAGATTTAATTTGGATATTGATTTTCCGTCTGATTTTTGTTCAGTGGAAAAGGAGTCTATTGTCCATCTGTTTTGTAATTGTGTATACACAAGGATTTTCTGGGTGGATATGGAAAATTTAATTAGAAGGAAAACAAATATTGTATTCAAGTTAAATAATTTTGATATATGTATTATTCCAGTGAAAGTAATAATAATTTAGCTTTCCTTGTACAACTTTTTATTAGGCTATTTTGGGGAAATTTCACATACATAAGAAGAAATGATAAAGAACCAAGCCAAATTTCATTCATATTCTTCAAGAAACTCGATTTACTTTTGAAACTTTTACATTCATGTGACATTTACAGGTAATGCTGAAACAAAGCATTATTTCAAATGAACCCCGTTTGAGACTATAACTGTCACGATACGCTGCTGGAAGGAATGATGGAGACGTGGATAACATAAATGGTATTTAATAAGAGAATAACAGGGGTAAATCCACAACAGGAACAGGGGTAAACACAGGTAAACCAACAAGTAGACTCGACAAAGAAGGAACGCACAGACTGGAACTAAATACATGACTTAACGAGGCAATTGGGAGGAACACAGGTGAACAGAATGACTAATTAAGAGACAACAAGGACAGGAACAGGAACGACCAAATAAGGGCACATGAGGGAGAAACTGGGTCACGGGGAGCACATGGGGAGCAAAACACAAAGACAGTCCAATACTGACATTTTGCCCTCCTCCCGGAAGGCGCGTCCTCGCACCGTAGAACCAACAGAGTGAGGTACGGGTGGGAACTGGGAGGAGGCTCAGGAGGAGGACAGACACCCGGGAGGGGGCCGGCAGACAGAGTCCAGGGAGGTGATGATGGAGGGAGGAGCCAAGGAGGAAACAGGAAGAGCCCGAGGCGGAGAGCCAGGGCGACGGGGAGGATCTGGAGGGCCAAGGCGGTGCAGATGGCTCCGACGACCGAGGCGGAGGTGGGGATCCAGAAGGCCGCAGTGGAGCTGGAGCGACAGAGGATTGAGGAGGAGCTGAAGGGATGGAGGAGCCTGACAGAGCCGGAGGGACGAGGCACAGCCGGAGGAGTGGAGTCCCGAGGCAACGGATGGTCGACGACAGAACAAGGCAGAGTCGGGAGGACGAGGGAGCCCGGCGGAGCCAGTGGACTGATGGGCTACGGCGGAGAGGAGGGAGCTAGGATGCCATGGTGGAGCCGACGGGTCGACCGGCCGAGGCGGAGTCCGGGATTCAGGGGCTGGAGGTGGAGAAAGGGGATCCTCCAGCCAAGGCAGGCCCGCGGAGCTCGCAACGTACAGATGGTGGGCTGCAGGCAAGCAGAGGGGCTGCCAGACGACAGCGTTGGAGGAGGATTTGTGAGCCTCTGGGCTTTCAGGGCTGGTGTGTGTCGCCCACACACACCAAATTGCGACTCCCAATCTAAACTCAGGAACTTGAGCCCTCTCCGGGCTAAACTCAGGAACAGGAGCCCTTTCAGCCTTCCACATTCCCTGATCCATTAATTGCTCACCCTCAGCCACGGTGCAGGGGGCGGAGCTCCTCTCCAGGCTCTCACTGTCCATGACGCTCTCCCCTGTGGCGAGCTCTGTAGCCAGCTCTCGCACCTGGTCTGACATCACAGGCTCAGACTCAGGCTCCGGGGCGATCCTCAGCACTGTCGTTCTCTTTGGTGATGGCTAGTTGGTCGTGGCGGGCTCTGGCTCTCTGTCATCGGTGGGCTTGGGCATAAACTCTGCGCAGCGGGGAGATGGTGGGCTGGGCTCTGGGTCTGGCTGTGTTCTGGATCGGAAATAGATGCTCTCCAGACACTGGATGATAGCTTCTCTCCAGCTTAGTCTGGTGGTGTCTGGGACGTCGACGGAGCGGTGGTAATTAGCCCCGATCCAGAACAGTGAGTTCAGCGCAGCGTCGTCGGCTAGGGCAGTGAACTTGGCAGCGAGGGGATCCATGGGGAACACGGGGGAAAACAGAAAACAAACACTGTAAAAAACACGGAAAACAAACGAAAGGGAGACACGTAGTTAAACTGTTTTGGTCGAGTCTTCTGTCACGATACACTGCTGGAAGGAACGATTGAGACGTGGATAACATAAACAGTATTTAATAAGAGAATCACAGGGGTAAATCCACAATACACTCTTAAAAATAAAGGTGCTTCAAAAGGTTCTTCAAGCGATGCCATAGAAGAACCATTTTTGGTTCCACAAAGAACCATTCAGTCAAAGGTTCTTTAAAGAACCATCTCTTTCTTACCTTTTTATAATCTGAAGAACCTTCTTTCGCCACAAAGAACCTTTTGTGAAACAGAAAGGTTCTTCAGATGTTAAAGGTTCTTTATGGAACCATTTAGACAAAAAGGTTCTTCTATGGCATCGTGAAGCACCTTTATTTTTAAGAGTGTAGGAACAGGGGTAAACACACATAATCCAACAAGTAGACTCGACAAAGAAGGAATGCACAGACTGGAACTAAATACATGACTTAATGAGGCAATTGGGAGGAACACAGGTGAGAATGACTAATTAAGAGACAACGAGGACAGGAACAGGAACGACCAAATAAGGGCACATGAGGGAGAAACTGGGTCAGGGGGAACACATGGGGAGCAAAACACAACAAAGACAGTCCAATCCTGACAATAACCTCCAGAAACATTAAGCTATACTCTGAACAAATTTTGTTGATGGTATAACGTCATTGAAAAACATACAAAAGTAGACATGCAGTATAAACGGTTTTATTAATAATATGTCTAATTAACCTGTTAAGACACTTACAAGCAGTGGACACAATAAATGTGCATGCTTGATATATTTTATATTTTGTAGTGAAAATAAACATGGTCATATCAGATTATAGGCTATAGTATGTATAAGTACAACAACAAAACAAAACAACCTGAACAAAAACCTGTTCCTGTTGTATTTTGCCATTTGTGCGAGTGACCCGCTGATATGCTCAGTACTTTGTGTCTCTGGGTTAAAAGCAGATGGGGGATTGTTAGTCTGTTCTCTCCCTCCACCACCTCTTTAATCCTCTCTTGTAAGAGGAGGTGATCTCCAGGTGAGACAAGGCGGTCCTACTGCCATGAAGGACAGAGATGGCTGCCTAGCTGTGTCCGATCTAGAGAGAAGTGCAGATTTACCATTTGACAGTGGGTATAGATATACAGTGGTGTGAAAAAGTGTTGGCCCCCTTCCTGATTTCTTATTTTTTTGCATGTTTGTCACACTTGAATGTTTCAGATCATCAAACAAATTTAAATATTACACAAAGATAATGCAAGTAAATACAAAATGCAGTTTTTAAATGATGATTTCATTTATTAAGGGAAAAAAGCTGTCCTACGTGGCCCTACGTGAAAACTTAATTGCCCCCTCCTGTTAAATCATGAAAGAACTGCAATTAACCACATTATTTTAGAAAGCTGAGTTCAATTTCACTAGCCACACACAGGCCTGATTACTGCCAGACCTGTTGAATCAAGAAATCACTTAAATAGAACCAGTCTGACAAAGTGAAGCATGCTTAAAGAGCAACACATCATCTAAAGAAATTCAAGAACAGATGAGAAACAAAACAGTTGATATGTATCAGTCTGGAAAGGATTATAAAGCCATTTCTAAGGCTTTGGGACTCCAGCGAACCACGGTTAGAGCCATTATCCACAAATGTAGAAAACTTGGACAAGTGGTAAACCTTCCCAGGAGTGGCCAGCCTACCAAAATTACTCCAAGAGCACAATGACGACTCATCCAAGAGGTCATAAAAGAACCCAGAACAACATCTAAAGAACTGCAGGCCTCACTTGCCTCAATTAAGGTCAGTATTCATGATTCAACAATAAGAAAGAGACTGGGCAAAAACGTCATCCATGGGAGAGTTCCAAGGCAAAAGCCACTGCTGACCAAAAAGAACACAAAGGCTCGTCTCTCATTTGCCAAAAAATATCTTGATTATCCCCAAGACTTTTGGGCAAATATTCTGTGGACTGATGAGACAAAAGTTGAACTTTTTGGAAGGTGTGTGTCCCGTTACATCTGACGTAAAACCAACACAGCATTTCATAAAAAGAACTTCATACCAAAAGTCAAACATGGTGGTGGTAGTGTGATGGTCTGAGGCTGCTTTGCAGTTTCAGGACCTGGACGACTTGCCATAATTGATGGAACCATGAATTCTGCACTCTATCAGAAAATCCTGAAGGAGAATGTCTGGCCATCAGTTTGTGACCTCAAGCTCAAGCGCACTTGGGTTATGCAGCAGGACAATGATCCCAAACACACCAGCAAGTCCACCTCTGAATGGCTCAAGAAAAACTAAATTAAGGTTTTGGAGTGGCCAAATCAAAGTCCGGACTTAAATCCGATTGAGATGCTTAAACAGTCCATTCATGCTCGAAAACCCTCCAATGTGGCTGAATTAAAACAATTCTGCAAAGAAGAGTGGGTCAAAATTCCTCCACAGCGCTGTGAAAGACTCATTGCCAGTTATCGCAAACACTTGATTGCAGTTGTTGCTGCAAAGCGTGGCACAACCAGTTATTAGATTTAGGGAGCAATTACTTTTTCACGTAGGGCCAGGCAGGTTTGGACAGCTTTTTTCCCTTAATAAAATAAATAATCATTTAAAAACTGCATTTTGTATTTACTTGCATTATCTTTGTGTAATATTAAAATTAGTTTGATGATCTGAATCTTTTAAGTGTGACAAATATGCAAAAAAAATTTAAAAACAGGAAGGGGGCCAACACTTTTTCACCCCACTGTATACATGTCTGTTAATTAAACAAATTTACTTGCTTCTTTGTAAGCATACAATTATGTTTTTGCACTGTGTACCTACACAACTATGTTTTCCCTGTGGTTTTTACACAAAAGCTAATACAATGAGAAACTATTCCAGATTGTATCATACCAGTCTATGAAAAATAATCCATTTTATTTTCCCACACTGATTTTAAAGCCTTTTCAGCCACAGATACATCTTCTAAACTCACAATAACTGCATATAGTTGGCTGATGTTCAACATGACCTAGAAAGTTTGATTGAGCAGCTTTAACATCTCATTGCTGTGTACAAATGAGACCCCCTCCTCCCACTCTAGAAGCATAAGACACTTTTGGTATGGATTAACTTATATTAGCTTAGCTTTAGCAGACTGAATTAGCTTACACTGATGCGCACCGTCTTAGATACAGAGATCACTCCCAAACAGTAGGAGAATTTTGTCATTTCTGTTATGACCTCTGACTGGAGCATAAAATCCCTGTCAATATGGCATAACTATATCCAAGTATGGTTCATCTTGATCCATGAGACTGTTCTAATTTTCATGTTGTTTTTACATAATATATCTACATTTTTTTGTGTATACTTTATCTTGTTTATCTTGATATTTCATTCTCTCTACGGTTACACTTTACTTGAAGGGGTGTGCATAATCATGACATGACACCTTCATAATCATGGCATGACACATGTCATGAATATGAAGGGGTTTTTATGCATGTTTATGACAACTGTCATTAAGTGTCATTCGCTCAGTTATGTAATTTTTAATGCAAAGATGACATTGTTTGAGATGTCTTTGTTATGGGCTATGGTTAGGGGTAAGGGTAGGGGTGGGGTTAGGTTAGGGTTAGGTCAAATAATGTCATATTTGCATTAAAAATGACATAACTGAGCGAATGACAGTTGTCATAAACATGCATAAAACCTCCTTCATATTCATGACATGTGTCATGTCATGATTATGAAGGTGTCATGTCAGTCTTATGCACACCCCTTCAAGTAAAGTGTTACCCTCTCTACAAATTGACCTTTTTAAAACTAACAAATGGTGTGAGATATAATGTGAAGGACTGTGTGAAATGAAAAGATTTTAAATGGTCACCTGGGCTAGTGTAGGTGATCTCTGTATTTCATCACAAAGTACAAAGAAGGAATTAATGTGAAAGGTAATGCTCATTAAAGCAGGTCTAAGAGAGACTGGCACACTGCAGAAATGAGGCCAGTGCAGCAGAGTGCAAATCATAAAGGTAAGATGTTTCAGCTTATGAATGGCATTTTAACAAAGCAACTTCATAACCTGAACTTACCTGGCAAGAGCGCTTTAGATTTCAACAAAAATCAGGAGCAGGACAGAACCGTGGACAAATAATTCATATTTGATGATGTCATAATATCATATTTCATCGGAATTTGTGACACGAGATTATTGCCTTTTACTTGCATTCAAAGTAAATCACTACATCATAAATTGTACTTATTATTTATCAGCTTTATTCCTGCATAAACGGTATGACATGCTCAAAAATGAACAAAATCTTGCTTTTCTCTTTAAAGTAGGATTAAAACCCCACATACTTGTAATTTTGCCTAATTTTGTGCCGTTATCACTCAGTGCCAGAGCAGTGAGCATATGCAAAATGTGATAGCTCAGGATGAATTGATGAGTGAACGTACTCTAGTAAAGACAGAAAGCATGTGGCAGGAACATAATGACAAAATTTTTGACTCTCAATACATTCTAACAGCAGATCCTTCTGAATCAATTGTTTCGAAAAATAAAAAAGGTATATTTGACTAAATGATTATGCTAAATCAAAAACAGGCAAATTGCTAATATTTCAAATCAGTAAGTAAAATGATTTCAAATCATATGATTGATTGTGTCAATAGATAGACATTAGACCCTTTATTTGGTATTTGGTGTGGCAATAGCACATTAGCCATTGGCCTATAAACAACAGGAGGAAGTTTTAGTGCATCCTGCTAGCCTCAGCATTTTGTACACTCCATGCTGAGCTGTTAGCTCTCACATTTTTGCTCCTCTCATCGTATCACCATTTATGTTTAGACAACAGAGCCCGATGGCCATGCGGTTACTAGCGCTCTGCATCTGCCTAAATATAGTCAGCCCTAAAGCTTCTTAGTGGGAGAACCCTCTTATAAGTTCCTTTCCTTGAATAGTAGCTGAGTACAGACCACACAAATATACTTAAGTGAAAATCCCTTGCAGGTATTTAATTCTAAATGAGTAATTACTGGGTTGTCAGTGTGTCTTGGTCTACAGGTGCATATGTCTTAGTGGCTCATTTGCGCCTTGGCTTCGAAGCGGGTCGCACACAAACGCACTGGCAGTAGCATCTTCTAGCCTGATACCGCAGAGCTTCCGGAGCTTTCCATTTCTCTAGGGCGACTAACCCGACACAGCCGCCACAATGTGTGACATGGGGGGACTCGATAACTTGGTGGCCAACACGGCCTACCTAAAAGCCCAAGGGGGTGATGACAAGGAAATGAAGAAACGTCGCCGAAGTCTCTCTCTACCCAAGCCAGAACAATGTGCTGCACTCAGGTCGACTCTGGACACGGACTTTGAATCCCTCAGCGAAAAGCAACCTATTGGAAAGAGGTTTTTTCGCCAGTATCTGGATCAAGCAGGGCCAGAATGCAATGCTGCTGTAGAATTTCTGGATGATCTGAATGATTGGGAATTGTCAGAGGCCGCTGCCAAAGACAAGGCCCATACAAATATCATCAATAAGTTCTGCAAAGATGGTTCCAAGAGCTCCCTCACCTTCCTGACTGGAGATGTAGCAACCAAGTGCAAGACGGTTACTGACAAAGATTTCGAGGAGGTGATGGGACAGGTGAAGCAGGCCACCAAAGAGTTCCTAAAAGGCAAGCCGTTTACAGATTACCAGACAAACGAATTCTTTGACAAGTTTTTGCAGTGGAAAGAGTACGAGAAACAGCCAATCACTGAAAAGTACTTTTATGAATTCAGGACACTTGGAAAGGGCGGATTCGGAGAGGTAGGTTTTTTTTCTTTCCGCGAAGTGCAATCTATTAGCATATAATTGAAATGGTCAGCCTTAACTAGGAGGTGTTAAAAATTCCAAGTACATGTCTTAAATCAAAGATATCATGATGTAGTCTCTCAAACTTAACCATGTCAATCCTATACACTTCCAGGTGTGTGCAGTGCAGGTTAAGAACACCGGCCAGATGTATGCCTGCAAGAAGCTCTGCAAGAAGCGCCTCAAGAAGAAACATGGTGAGAAAATGGCCCTGCTAGAGAAGAAGATCTTGGAGAAGGTCAACAGTCTGTTCATTGTCAGCCTGGCCTATGCTTACGACACTAAGACCCATCTCTGTCTGGTCATGAGCTTGATGAATGGAGGTGACCTCAAGTATCACATCTATAACATTGGTGAGAAGGGTATTGAAATGGATCGGATCATCTATTATACAGCTCAGATTACAACCGGGATGCTTCACCTGCATGACATGGACATTGTGTACCGTGACATGAAGCCAGAGAATGTGCTGTTAGATAGCCAAGGCCAGTGCCGTCTTTCAGATCTTGGTCTCGCTGTGGAGATTCCCATTGGAAAGACCATCACCCAGAAGGTGAGTTGATCGCATCTATGCTGTGATCATTACCGGTAAAGGCACCGGATAACAACTGGGTATGCTTGTATGAGATAAATAGCATGGAGAGTCATTCTCAAATTACTAAAGGAGATGAACAACTTCAACAGTAAAACCAAAATTACAGACTTCCTAAAACTCCATGTTATTTGGGGATTTTATTCAACACCAATCCATAATTATGCTGTATATATATGTTATTGAAACTAGATTGGACTAGTGTAAAAATTAAGTATCTAATAAACCTTAATGGACTATTCATTTGCTAAGTTGGGCCGCACACTGACACATACCTTTGAGCTACATCACTGTGAGAAAACAGAAACACTTCACATCATAAATTGAACACAATCAGCTAATTCAATACACAATTAATTAATAGACTTTTCTGCTTTTTGCAATTATAGTTCATATTTAAGTCATTTTTTAAATTAGCCAATCAACTTGCAGAACACTTGGATTCCATTACAGACAGTAGTCCTCAGAACACAGTTTGAGATCACTGGTCTAGTTAAAGTCTTTGTTTACTTTATGTTTAGCAGTCCTAGTATGCCGCCAGGACTTTAGAGATTTTCAGTAACACTGTTAGGGACCTTAGATTGTTTGTCTTTTACACAGTAAATCGGGATTACGACCGTGTTAGCGTGGTATTCTTTGCCTGTTATATAATTCCTGGTGATCGTCATCAACCTGAGTACAGCTACATCAGTGAACAGACCCAAAGACTGCATGAAGAAGTGATACAAGGATCAGTTAGCTGCAGTGTCCTTACCTGCACCATTGGCTCATTGTCTCTTTAAGCTTTTGCATTGGTAGGCCACAGATAATTGTGATTAGGAGGATTCTTCATTAATTTTTTTTTTATTATATTTATTTTCACTCAGTTATATCAGTATTCATTTCATGATATGCTCTGCATTAAAACTCTGCTGTAGCTAAGATAAGGTTACGTCGTTACTTCAGGGCCCACAAGTGCTTCACCTTTACCCAAGAGGCGCAATAATCACAACTGGGTCTCTATCTCACTACAATAAACAGTGTTATACAAAATAGCATGAAATCTATAGCTATTGTTAAATTTATTAATGTAGTGCAGCATTATGGATAGTAAAATGCCAGTACACCATTAGCAACTAGGAAGCTTGATGAAATTCATTGATGAAATTATGATTGATGAAACACCGTTTTTCTTTTTTTGGTCGAGATTTACGGATGTAAATTGAAAGCTCGTTCAAAGAATTATGCCATAGGTAACAAAAATGATCAATTAAATTACAGCACAACACAAATTAGGTTAATTGAACCCAGAAGGTGTTTTAGAAGGTAGTTATCTAACTAAATGGTTTAAAATGTTAGACGCTACATTTGTAATGACAAATGGCATTTGTAAAGATACATTGTACATGTAACAGAGGGAATATACTACCTTCATTGTGTTGTCCCTCAACTTTACATTGTTTTTGTTTTGTTCGGTATTCAGATTTTCTTATCATATTTCTTAAACTCACTCTGGTGGAAAAATACTCAGTGTTGCCCCTCATGACTTGCTCATTTTTGATATATTGTCAAGTGTCAAAATGAAACAACTTTCATGCAGTGACCCTAAGCTTATTATCCCGTGCCCTTCTTGAGTCCTCAATGCAGGTTGAAGCCCAAGCTGAACCACCGGGGGTTTGGTTGGCTTTACACTCCTGATCCTCTTAGGCAGAATTACACAAATCTGTCTCTGATCAGATAGCCAAAGCCTGGGGACGCGCTACATTTTATATTTGTCGCATGAATTTTATATGTTTAAAGGCTCTGGGTTTATCACTGCTCTTTGCTGTCATTTTCTTGTCTTTCTTGAACACTTTATTGACTGCTCTTGAAGCCTTGATCTTCTTGACATCTCACAACTTTAAAGTCATGACCCAGCAGTTTCATTTATGTAACTACACTATATGCACAAATGATAGCTTCAGTGGTCTGAAGGTCTAGGTCATTCTAGTTTAGGTAATCGAATTATGTTAGTCTGGCACAATGACCGTGCATCTTTTCCCATGTAATCACTACATTTTAGCTTGACTGAGCCTAACCCTGCTGATTACTATATCTTAATTTTCCTCTTGCAGATTAAACTGCCAGCAAATGTCCTGCTTAAGGATAGATTATTTAGCCAAAAAACAATGCTTTTGTCTTAATTATTCAGTATGATAGTGTTGTTGTAACTATTATCACGCTTTAAATCCCATAAATGGATTTTTAAGCACCCATAGTGGTCTGTCTTAAAGCCATGCAAGTAAATTGAAGAGCTCTGCTGTTAGATTAGCCATATAGTTATTAATGAATGACTCTAAGTGAAAGCATATCTTTGTACACAAAGGTGCACATGTGCATTTGAGCCTAAGAATGGATGTCTTTATATAACCAGACTGTCCACTTCATCACAGTGGATCGGCACATGACTCCTGACAGGTAGTAGAGGATTACAATTAAGCTTCTTCTTTCTGGCAAAGAGAGGAAATGAGGTACAAGCAATAGATAGGGTAATACTTACATAAAATGCTTTACTACTACAATGCTGTTACCTTAATAAACTCCTCTGACAAACAGATATGCTCCTCAAAGCATGACAGTTTCATACAAAGGGGTGGTTTCGCATCTTATTTAAACAGATTCCCACGGGAAATGATAATATAAAAAGAGTTCAGTCTGAACTTTTGTCCCTCAAACCTTTTGGTTCTCTTTTCACAGGCTGGAACGGGTGCATATATGGCACCTGAAATCCTCACTGAAACCCCATACAGGGCATCAGTGGATTGGTGGGCTCTTGGTTGCAGTATCTATGAAATGGTAACTGGCTACACCCCGTTCAAAGGCCCTGAAGCCAAGAAGGAGAAAGTGGAGAAGGAGGAGGTACAGAGGCGCATCATTAACGAGGAATCTAAGTTTGAGCACAAGAACTTTGATGCCCCCACCATAGACATAATCAAGCAGTTCCTCAAGAAGAAGATTGATGAACGTCTTGGCTGCAAGTAAGTCCTTCTATCCCTCTTAACCTCCTGATCCTTCAGTGTGATCGGAGGTGCTAAAGCAGGATATGTGGACCCTAACCTGCTTGAAATCCTTTACCACAATATTCTTCAATAGTGTCCTACAGGTCAAAGCTATTGTATCAAATTTGTATGCCTTAGCAAAGATTATTTTCTAGGTCTAAAATCCTATATGGTCAACCTATATCTCTTCTTTTGGGCCAAATTATAATGTAATAATGACCAAAAACCTTGGTTTTCTTGAACCAGATAATGGCAATATTGTGAAATGCCTTTTTCCCAAATGACTAGAGTGTATAATTGTTACTTGTACTATTTTCACAGGGGTGATGATCCCAGGAAGCATGAGTGGTTCAAGTCCATCAACTTTGCTCGTTTGGAGGCTGGCCTTATTGATCCACCCTGGGTGCCCAAACCCAACGTTGTCTACGCAAAGGATACAGGTGACATTGCTGAGTTCTCTGAAATCAAGGGTATTGAGTTTGACACAAAGGATGAAAAGTTCTTCAAGGAGTTTAGCACAGGTGCTGTGCCCATTGCCTGGCAAAAGGAGATGATTGACACTGGACTCTTTGACGAGCTCAACGACCCCAACCGGAAAGAATCATCCGGTGGTTCAGATGATGATAAGAAATCGGGCACTTGCACACTTCTGTGAGAGGACCAATCCAGCCACCCAGCCCAGAATTCACCAGCAAATGCTTTCAGTGGCATCATTAAGATGAATGAAACTGTGCTCTGTGTCGAAGAAGAGTGGACCGTGACAAAAGAGATGGGACGTTAGTCCATTGTAGCATAGAAGGAGACTCTTATTGCTTCAGTTGCACAGCCACATGGTCTGAGAAACATTCTAGACCATCCATGATGTGGTGGACTGAGCTTTGGACCAGTCAGGGAAGTTCTTCTCTGCAGTTCCTTTATGTCTCGTGAAGTAGTCAACCGCCTATCCAACAGGGGGTGCAAGTAAAAGTACTATTCAATATTGAGAAGATGCTAGAAGAGTAGAAGACTACAGGCCACTTAAAGATTGTGATGTAACAATAGCGACTCAATGTAATCAGCAGCAGTTTGTGATCAGAAGGCAGAGATGCATGGATATGCAAATTGGAGTCATTCCCAAGAAGCAGCGGCTTGCATTTCAAACATCTCCTGCCTTGCCAAATCACAGTTTATTTGTGGATTAGTTCACTGTGTACTAGTACACAATTGGCATCTATTGTACACATACTCTTTGTAAGACTTTAAGAAGCTACTGAAGATCAGGCCCAGACGGAATCTACGGAAATTCGTTCTCGTTTTTTAAAATTCGGAATTCTGTGGCATGTTCTACAAGCTAAATTAAATGAGCTAGAGTTCCTCTATCCACCAATCGATTTTCCGAACCATTAGTCCTAGGGTTGCTTGAGCCTGTCCCGGCATCTCAAGCTGTAGACAGGGAAAGACCCTGGAGAGATGGCTAGTCCATCACAGGGTCAAATTTGTGAAAATGTGTAACAAAATAATTGTGAAGGATGTAAAAATGTTGTAATGGTGGGCGTTCCAATTGCACAGATTCCATGTGGGCCTGCTTGTTGTGACACAGGTAAACATCTACATCAGGGCTGTCCAAACTCGGTCCTGGAGGGCCGGTGTCCTGCAGAGTTTAGCTCCAACTTGCCTCAACACACCTGACTGGAAGTTTCTATGCCTAGTAAGAGCTTGATTAGCTGGTTCAGGTGTGTTTAATTAGGGTTGGAGCTAAACTCTGCAGGACACCGGTCCTCCAGGACCGAGTTTGGACACCCCTGATCTACATGCTAACAAAGTGCATTTGAATGAATTGTGTAATTGCTCAACAGAGCTCCAATGATCTCTGTTGTAGAGATTGTCGCACAAATTGTTAACGCATGACCTCCATGCTTGTGATCTTTGATAGCAGGGCTTTTCGGATTCTGCACCTTGTGTGTATAAATATGTACATATAAATATGAATTAATAAATCAACATATATTATCAGCTCTGAAATTAAATCAGAGCTTGATTGTTTAGCATTTAAAGGTAATTCCATTTGTGTTTTGTTATCATATCCCATCATAACAGAGTGGTAAATATGTACACAGCAGACAGCCTTCCTTTACAGATAAGTTCAGCTGAAAGAGGTCAGTCCTCAAGGGCACAAATAGAGGGCTTTGGCACTGACTCGTCTGCTAAATCCTCACCAGTTGCGCTATGTAACCAAGGTGGAGGTTATGCCCTCTTCCAGTCTTCCGTGGTGATGCTTGATGCTGAGCAAGAGCAAACAATTGTTATTGTGACATAAAATGGACCAAACTACCTGTCTGCAAATTAATTATTTGTTCTGTGTCTTTTGAGTTTTTACTGTTTGAGGTAAGAAATAATGACTGATTGTAATTGTATATAAGGTTTGAGAATGATTCTAAATAGAAATTTCAGATATTCAACAGAGGCATGGATTCAAAATGGGACAATAAAATGTTTCTTTCTTTTACAGATTTATTTCTTAGCTTCTCCCCCTCCCATAACACTGGTGCTTGGTGCTAACTCGGTTTCAAATCAGCAAATTGAATGGAGTTATGTGTTCCTGAGATAATTAAATCTGAAGTTTAATCTCTCACGTAATGAAAATTCAACCACATGCTGGCGCATTCTTAAAACAATCTGTGCAAGAGTCAAAGCCTAAAAATATTCCCCAGATTAAGGAGCCAAATGACAGACCGCCTGAAAAGTTCTGGGCTGAATTCAGAACACCACACTTATCTTGTAAAGCGATAATCTGGTTTATACTCGCGTACTTAAATCAACCTCTAATCCTTGTAACCTCCAGTCTGATTTGCTGAACCAAGACAAGTCACTCTCACCAGACTTACCAATTTATGATCTCCTCTGAGAGCATAGAAATACCAGTCTGGTTCAGCACACATGAATGAATCTGCTTCCTGTGTTCAAAGACTGTTACATCACTTCTGAGCTTTATTAGGCAGTGTACATGTAGAGATGGTGTGCATATTACTATGCAGGTCTGCTTATGATTGAGTTTTGATGGAGTAGTAGCAAGTCAGAAAAGTCTTCAGACAGTAAAGCTAAAGACCCTGTTAAGCCAAACAGATCCCACTCCTCCTTATGTGAACCAATATCCACTAATGCGGAAAATAAGCTTATGTGTGTAAGAAGCAGTGTTAGTGAGTCTCCTTACTGTTTAATAACACTGTGTGTTATTAAAACATGTTGGAACTTTTGATTTTGGGCGTGTTTGTCAGTAGCCAGGAGTTCTCACACTTTTAACACCAAAGACTCCAAAATATGATAATACATTTGTATATTTCCTGAAATATAATAGCAGCTATATATTTTAATAATGCTTTGTGAAAAACATTGATTTCAAAATTAAATAACTGGGTCCTATATATATTTATCTATTTTTCTATTATAGTTTATATTGTCACAGACCAAAACAAATAACTACATTATCTGGAAATTACATGGCAGTGTATTTTTTTTTCTGTATAGACCTTTTAAAATACAAACCAGATCAGTTTTTTAAATTACTGTTTAAAACGGAACTGCAGAATCAAGCCGTTATAATAATAATAATCTTTTAAAAATTAAGTGTGAGCTAAAATAGATGACTGCATCAATTACCTGAAACATTGGCCAGCTTAAAAGACCATATATGTACAGACTGAAGCAGATTCCCATGTCTGTGACTAAATGTGGTCAACTAATCAGTTGACGCAAACTGCTGATTTATTGATAGCTGTTGGCAGGAACAGACAGTGCTATGTTTGGTTGAGCGCTGTGACATGTTTAAGTTAAACGAATATGACATATGGCACCGAACACATGATTCAGTGTAGTAGGAGAATGAGTTCAAACGTGAATACAAAGAATGCTACTCAACACAACTGTAATTTGGAAGAAAAAAAAAAGTTGCTGTTAGACAACATTATATCCTAACGCCATCCTGTGGAACATTCAGGATATTACAGACAATCTACAACCACCACTTATTTGTTTTCTTTTTATTTGTCAAAATAGCATTTGTACCAAGATGTTAAATGGCTCTTAAGGCATCTGCATGAACTAGGCTCCATGCAGAGGTTTTAAAAATCATTTAGTTTACAAATTTGGCTCTTTACGTATTTCATATTTCAAAAATGTGTCAAATAATGCCACTGTTTTTTTGTTGTTTTTTTTACATAAATATTTTAGCAATATGACAATACGATCATTAAATATATTCACACAGAGCACCACAAACACAAAAACACCAACTAAGGATGTAGATAGCGACTAACCCGTCTCATCAATCACAATGTAAACAAAATCCCTTTAAGAGTACAACGTAATGACGTTAAAGAATTCAAAACATCTAGGGAATGCGAGGCCCAGGGTTAAAATACAATTAAATGTTCAGAGACACTAGGCGGTGCTAGACAGAAGACTAAACAGGGATCCTGTGAAGACAAGGTGAGTGGGATTCATTAACAGAAATCAATCAGTCATGCCTCTCTGTGGAGAGTTAAATTAAGTCCTTGAGACCTGCTGAGGACCAGCAGGACATACAGTGGGGGTTTAAAAGGAGGACAGGGACAACAGGGAGAAAAGTAGTGCAAGTTTCCCTTTAGCGTCCATACCAGCAGCTGCTTTATTCGGTCACCAGGACCCTGAAGGTGATGCGACCGAGAAACTTGTCGCGCTCGTCATTGTTCTTGAGGTTGGAGCCCTCTACCTTGCACTCTACAATCAGCTCAGAGTTGTAGTCTTCCTTCTTAAGCAACAGCTTTACAGCAACCAGAGGCTGAACATAACCCTCCTATAGATGACCAGAGACAGAAAAACCAAGGTGAAAAAAGTGTACTTCACTATACAGACTTAAATTAAGTTGTAATACTATATTGTCATTCAATATAGTATAATACTAGATCTACTATACGTCATCTCATTATATAATGAAGTCTTTAAAGGAATATTCTGGGCTTAATACAAGTTAAACTTAATCATAATATAATTAATAGTAAAACAGCTGTTTACATAATTTTTGCATAAGTCTATGGCATTGCATTATGGCAACTATGTTTTAAAACTGGACACACAGAAAAGGCAAATTTGTTAACACATAGTTTTGTTATCTTATAACTATACTATTGAAATTTTGTGTCATTTATGAATTCGCCCCATTCACTTCCATTGTACATGTCTCACTGTAATCCACTGTAATTTTACTTTTTTTTTTTTGAAGATATGAACAGACAAGTAGATTTTTTTTTTTGTGGTAATCAACATAATGTTATAAATACTGGCGAATTACCTTAAATGTTATTGATCCTGGAAGATTCCTTTAAACGATTAGTTAACCAAAAATGTAAAATTCAGTGAACATTTCCTCACCCTCAGGCCATCCAAGATATATGATATATGGTTATATGTACCATATATAGATATATGGTTTTGTTTCTTGAATGGAACAGATTTGAAGAAATATAGCATTACATCACTTGCTCACCAATGGATCCTCTTTCACTGGAGAAATCATGATGGTAATGGATTTGTTTATTACTTTTTGCTTCACAAGACATTAATTTATGGACTTTATCTTGTGGATTATTGTGATGTTTTTATCAGCTTTTTGGACTCTCATTCTGACGGCACCCATTCACTGCAGGGGATCTATTGGTGAGCAAGTGATGTGATGCTAAAATTTCTCTAAAACTGTTTCAATGAAGAAACAAAATCGCCTGCATCTTGGATGGCCTAAGGGTGAGTACATTTTCAGCAAATTTTCATTTTGGGGTGAACTATTCTAGTGTTGTCAAACGATTAATCGCGATTAATCGCATACAAAATAAAAGTTTTTGTCTGCATAATATACGTGTTTGTTCTGTGTATATATATTATGTATACAGTATATAAATACACACACATACAGTATATATTTTGAAAATATTTACATGTCTATATGTATATTCATATAATTTATATCTTAAATATATTTAATACATAAACATAACATACTTTTCTGAAACTTATACATGCATGTGTATTTATATATACATAATAAATATACACATCACACACACATATATTATGTAAACAAAAACTTTTATTTTGGATGCAATTTATCGTTTGACAGCACTAAACTATTCCTTTAAGCATGTTCAGAGCTCTATACTTACATGTGTTTTTTTCCCATAGTAAGGAAAGTACATCCTATCAATAGTCCCCTCATGGGGAAAATACTGCATCTGGAGAGGTTTCCCACTCTGAAGAGAAAGAAAAAAATACCAGAATACAGGCTGTTACTTGGTGAGAGTGGATGATGCCGTTTGATGTAGTTCTAACAATAATATAAATCATCTATGACATATACAGTAGCTGCAGCCTAAAAATACATTTGGATGCAGAGCATAATGTATCCCAGCAGAGAACAGACAAAGCAGAATGCTGCTTTGGAGAAACCAAGTGCTAGAAGTCATGCTGCTGCTTTGCCATGCTAAATGAATTAGTATTTGTTCATTAGCCATCTTTATTGATCAATAGTAGCGACTCATTAAGAAAATATTCAGATGGTAACCATTGTGATAATGGACAGCTGATTCTGATTAGGGATGCATGAGATATCAGTACCATATCGGCTAGTATTACAGATATTTAATTGTGCAGCTCACTTTCTCAACTTTTTTTTTTTGAAGCTGCCATCTAACGCTCAACGTCAATCAATAAAACACTAATAATTGAATAACACTGTAATTGAATCTTTAACAAATCACAAAATGACTATCCGTTTTTCACACTGTACATAATAACGTTGCCTAAATTCATGTGTAGCATTTTAAATGATTGATTTGAGTTTTTATTGGTTCATATTTAGTTTATTTCATTTCAGTTTCGATTATATTAAATATATCAGGGTGCATCCCTAATTCTCACAAGTAGGGTTGGGCCGATAGACGATGCCATCGTCCATCGCCGATGGCTGACAGACCCCCCCCCCCCCCCCCCCCCCCCCCCCCCCCCCCCCCCCTCCCCACCCCCCCTCTATGGCAATTCAAC